TGATAAAAGAATGTACAAGGTTTTGAAAAGGGAAAGGCCCCATGTTTTTATGACCACTAGACTAGGTGGATCCAAATGAATGTACTAATAGTGTTTTAAGGAAGTCACAGTTTTTATGACCAAGACTGCCTGTATCCCAAAAGAATGTACTACTAGGTATGAAGGAATGTCCACAGTTTATTACCACAAGACTGCCTGATCCAAATGAAGTACTACTAGTGTTTGGGAAAGGAATGCCAATGTTTAATTTACCACTGACACCGGGCCAAACTGAAAGTAACTAGGTTATGAATGGAATGTCCACATGTTTATATGACCACTAGACTAGCCTGGATCCAAACTGAATGTTTTCTATAGGTTATGAATGGAATTCCACATTTAAGACCATGACTAGCCTGGTCCAAATGAAGTAACTAGGTTTTGAATGGAAGTCCAAATGTTTATATGACCATAGAAGCCTGGATCCAAAAATGAATTACTACTATGTAAGGATGGAATGCCATACAGGGGTAATGCCCCACTATACTGCATCACATTGTTGTAAAGAAGCTAGCTAAGATAGCCAGCTACACTATACATAAAACAGTATGTGGACAACCCCTTCAAATTACTGGATTCGGCTATTTCAGCCACACCCGTTGCTGACAGCTGTATAGAATCGAGCAAATGGAATCTCCATAGAAAAAAACATTGGCAGTAGAATGGCCTTACTGAAGACCTCAGTGACTTTCAACGTGGCACCGTCATAGGATGCAACCTTTCCAACAAGTCAGTTCGTCAAAATTTCAGCCCTGCTAGAGCTGCCTCGGTCAACTGTAAGTGCTGTTATTGTGAAGTGGAAACGTTGAGGAGCAACAACGGCTTATCCGGGAAGTGGTAGGCCACACAAGCTCACAGAACGGGACCGCCGAGTGCTGAAGCACGTAGCGCGTAAACAATGTCTGTCCTCGGTTGCAACACCCACTACCGAGTTCCAAACTGCCTCTGGAAGCAACGTCAGCACAATAACTGTTCGTCGGGAGCTTCATGAAATGGGTTTCCATGGCCGATTAGCCGCACACAAGCCTAGCCAAGCCAAGCGTCGGCTGGAGTGGTGTAAAGCTCGCTGCCATTGGACTCTGGAGCAGTGGAAACGCGTTCTCTGGAGTGATGAATCACGCTTCACCACCTGGCAGTCCGACGGACAAATCTGGGTTTGGCGGATGCCAGGAGAACGCTACCTTCCCCAATGCATAGTGCCAACTGTAAAGTTTGGTGGAGGAGGAATAATGGTCCGGGGCTGTTTTTCATGGTTCAGGCTAGGCCCCTTAGTTCCAGTGAAGGGAAATCTTAACACTACAGCATACAATACAAACGTTTGGGGAAGGATCTTTCCTGTTTCAGCATGAAATGCCCCCATGCACAAAGCGAGGTCCATACAGAATTGGTTTGTCGAGATCAGTGTGGAAGAACTTGACTGGCCTGCACAGAGCCCTGACCTCAACCCCATCGAACACCTTTGGGATGATTTGGAACGTCGACTGCGAGCCAGGCCTAATCGCCCCAAATCAGTGCCTGACCTCACTAATGCTTGTGGCTGAATGGAAGCAAGTCCCTGCAGCAGTGTTCCAACATCTAGTGGAAAGCCTTCCCAGAAGAGTGGAGGCTGTTATAGCAGCAAAGGGGGGACCAACTCCATATTAATGCCCATGATTTTGGAATGAGATGTTCGACGAGCAGGTTTCCACATACTTTTGGTCATGTAGTGATTTTCATTTACATAAGTATTCACACCCCTGAGTCAATACTTTTTGAAGCACCTTTGGCAGTGATTACAGCTTTGAGTCGTCTTGGATATGTTTGTATCTGCTTTGCACATCTGGGAATTTTCTGTCATTCTTCCTTTCAGATTTTCTCAAGCTCTGTTAAATTAGATGGGGGCGGCGGTGAACAGCTATCTTCAAGTCTTTCCACAGATTTTCAATGGGATTCAAGTCTAGGCTTTATCTGGGCCACGCAAGGACTTTCACATTCTTGTTCTGAAGCCATTCAAGCGTTGCTTTGGCTGTATGCTTGGGTTCATTTTCCAGTTGGAATGTAAATCTTCGCCCCAGTCTAAGGTCGTTTGCACTCTGAAGCAGGTTCTCATCAAGGATTTGCCTGTATTTGGCTCCATTCATTGTTCCCTCTATCCTTACCAGTCTTCCAGTCACTGCCGCTGAAAAGCATCCCCTTAGCATGATACTGCCACCACCATGCTTCACGGTAGGGATGGTGTTAGACGGGTGATGAGCTGTGCCTTGGTTTTCTCCAGACATAGTGCTTTGCATTCGGGCCAAAGAGTTCACATTTTGTCTCATCAGACTACATAATATTTTGCCTTATGCTCTCAGTGTCTTTCATGTGCCTTTTTGCAAACTCCAGGTGTGCTGTCATGTGCCTTTTTCTCAGGAGTGGCTTCCGTCTGGCCACTCTCCCATAAAGCCCAGATTGGTGCAGTGCTGTAGAGACGTGTTGTCCTTCTGGCAGGTTCTCCCATCTCAGCCAAGGAACTCTGTAGTTCTGTCAGAGTGGTCATTGGGTTCTTGGTCACCTCCCTGACCAAAGGTCCTTCTTGCCCGGTTGCTCCGTTTTGGGTCGGGACTCTCAGGCAGAGTCTGGGGTAGTTCCATCATTATTTCCAATTTACCCAATGATGGGAACCACTTGTGCTTTTGGAAACTTTCAACCACTCTAAAATAGTTTTATACCCTTCCACAGATCCTGTATAAACCTCGTCACAATTTCTAGCTCGGCGATCTACGGACAGTTCCTTGGACTTCCTGGTTTAGTTTCTGCTCTGACATGCATGGCAACTGTGGGACCTTTATACAGACAGGACGTCTCAAGGTTGATCAAAGGAAATCGGATGCACCTGAGCTCAATTTGGAGTGTCATAGCAAAGGGGTGTGAATACTTGTGTAAATTAGATATTTATGTATTTCATTTTCAATACATTTGCAAGATTTTCTAAAAACAATGTTTTCACTTTGTTATTAAGCAGTATTGTGTGTAGATGGGTGAGAGAAATGTTTTGATTTAATCCATTTTGAATTCAGGCTGTAACACAACAAAATGTGGAATAAGTCCAGGGGTATGAATACTTTCTGAAATCAAATCAAATTATATTTGTCACATGCGCCGAATACAACAGGTGTAGACCTTACCGTGAAATGCTTACTTACAAGCCCTTAAACCAACAATGCAGTTCAAGAAATAAGAGTTAAGAAAATATTTACTAAATAAAATAAAAAGTAACACAATAAAATAACGAGGTTATATACAGTGGGTACCGGTACCGAGTCAATGTGGCGGGGGCACAGGTTAGTCGAGGTAAAGGCACTGTATCTCACAGTAGACTGGAGCTATCAGCTCACTGCACCACCCATAACGTCTGAATGAATGGGGATAGCCTGGTTAACTACGCTCTTAAGCTCTTGATGGTTGAATCCTTTCTGAAGGCGCTGTATGGAATAGGGTTGCACTTGGGACGCACCCTTGGCCTTTTGAGGAGCATACCAATTAAAACACATGCCACAGAAAAACAGGTTCACTGAGTTTTATTAAGTAGGTCCACTCACACAGTGTTAAAGGTTAGGGGGGTGGAAGCTGAATAATAGTTTATGAGAGTAGGTCACTCATCACAGGTTAAAGGTTAGGGGGGGAGGCCGATATATATAGTTTATGTAGAGTGGTCCACTCATCACAGGTTAAAGGTTAGGGGGGTGGAAGGCCTGATATATATAGTTTATGTAGAGTAGGTCCACTCATCACAGGTTAAAGGTTAGGGGGGTGGGGGAAGGCATGATATATATAGTTTATGTACAGTAGGTTACCTATCACAGGTAAAGGTTAGGGGGTGGGGAAGGCTGATTTATAGTTAGGGAGTAGGCCAACGTAATCACAGGTTAAAGGTTAGGGGGGTGGAAGGCCTGATATATATAGTTTATGTAGAGTAGGCTCCACTCATCAAGGTTAAAGGTTAGGGGGGTGGAAGGAATGATATAATGATTTAGTACAGAGGTTATGTACAAGTAGGTCGCACCTATGACAGGTACAAGGCTTAGGGGGGGGGAAGGCATGAATTAAGGTTTGCACGGTAGGTTCAGGCAAAGAGGTTGAGTGGCTAAGGGGAAAGGGAGAGGAGAGAGCAAGAAGTCCCATAGTATAGGTAGGGAAGGACAGATCTAATAAAGATCATAAGGTCTAGAGTAGAGATAGATGATGAAGAGAGAGATGAGAGAGAGAGAGAGAAGGAGGAGAGAGAGCGAGTGAGAAGTAGATAGAGAGATCGATCAAGAAGGAATCAGCTCTCGGCTAATCTCTCTTCAAATATCTCTATCTTCGTCTTCTCTTCTCTCTCTCTCTTTACTCTCTCTCAGGCCTTATGCGGGTTACAAGCGGATGAAAGGATGAAATGTTAACATGATCTCTTTCTTCTGTCTCATTAAGAAAGAGGGAGAAACCTGATCCAGGGGCATTCGATAGAGCCAGGTTCATATTCCTCTCCCCCTCTGTTACATTTATGAGGACCCATGCCTAGGGGGGACAGAGGTGCTGCCGGCAGACAGGACCATGTCATTCATGAAGTCAATCTATGTCAATCTAAATGTGTGCCTGTCTGTGTTCCAGGCAGTCCAACACACCTGATTCTACTAATCCCCCTTGATTTTAGGCCAGTATAGCTGAATCTGGTTTGTTAGAGCTGTAGCTGGTCTGCCATACTAGTCTGGATATGTCCAGTAGCTTTCCAGGACCCAGACCCAGGGTTCTCTTTCCCTCCCAGCCGCCTCCTCCTCCAACTACCCGGTCAGCGGGCGAGAGAGGGCCGGTATCGACCGGGTCTTCCGCCAAGGTATCCAGATAACTCCCCACAGACATCACATCAAGAATCCGTCACTCCCGTAGCGCAGACTGGACACGCTGCTTGGCCGGGATGCGTCCTGGCTCTCGGCCAGGCTACTCTCCCCTGGCTAGCCACCGCTGCCGTCCCGGACCCCCTGCTCCACCTCCAGGGCGCAGCGCGTCGCCTCGATGCCGTCGTTGATCGATAGGAGCTGCCGCATCAGACGGACGTCCATGCCCTGCAGGTGTGACTGTGTTGTTGGGAGAGAACGGGACAAACAGGAGTTAGGGCAGGTGTGACTGTGTTGGGAGAGAACGGGACAAACAGGAGTTAGGGCAGGTGTGACTGTGTTGGGAGAGAACGGGACAAACATGAGTTAGGGCAGGGTGTGACTGTGTTGGGAGAGAACGGGACAAACAGAGTTAGGGCAGGTGTGGACTGGTTGTTGGGAAGGAGAACATGGACAAACAGAGTTAGGCATGGTGTGACTGTGTGTTGGGGAGAGAACAGGACAAACAGGAGTTAGGGCAGGTGTGACTGTGTTGTTGAGAGAGAACAGGACAAACAGGAGTTAGGGCAGGTGTGACTGTGTTGTTGGGGAGAACAGGACAAACAATTAGGGCAGTGTTGTGACTGTGTTGTTGGGAGAGAACAGGACAAACAGGAGGTTAGGGCAGGTGTGACTGTTGTTGGGAGAGAACAGGACAAACAGGAGTTAGGGCAGGTGTGACTGTGTTGTTGGAGAGAACAGGACAAACAGGAGTTAGGGCAGGTGTGACTGTTTGTTGAGAGAGAACGGGAACAAACAGGAGTTAGGGGCAGGTGTGACTGTGTTGTTGAGGAGAACAGGACAAACAGGAGTTAGGGCAGGTGTGACTGTGTTGGGAGAGAACGGGACAAACAGGAGTAGGGCAGGTGTGACTGTGTTGGAGAGGAGAACAGGACAAACAGGAGTTAGGGCAGGTGTGACTGTGTTGGGAGAGAACGGACAAACAGGAGTTAGGGCAGGTGTTGACTGTGGTTGGGAGAGAACAGGACAAACAGGAGTTAGGGCAGGTGTGACTGTGTTGTGGGAGAGAACAGGACAAACAGGAGTTAGGGCAGGTGTGACTGTGTTGGGAGAGAAACAGGGACAAAAACAGGAGTTAGGGCAGGTGTGACTGTGTTGGAGAGAACGGACAAACAGGAGTTAGGGCAGGTGTGCTGTGTTGTTGAGAGAACAGGACAAACAGGAGTTAGGGCAGGTGTGACTGTGTTGGGAGAGAACGGGACAAACAGGAGTGTAGGGCAGGTGTGGACTGTGTTTTTGAGAGAAGGACAAACAGGAGTTAGGGCAGGTGTGACTGTGTTGGGAAGAAGAACGGGACAAACAGGAGTTAGGGCAGTGTGTGACTGTGTTGTTGAGAGAGAACAGGACAAACAGGAGTTAGGGCAGGTGTGGACTGTGTTGGGAGAGAAACGGGACAAACAGGAGTTAGGGCAGGGTGTGTTGTGTTGATGGAACGGAAACAGGAGTAGGGCAGGTGTGACGGGTTGGAGAGAACGGACAAACAGGAGTTAGGGCAGGTGGTGACTGTGTTGTTGAGGAGAGAACAGGACAAACAGGAGTTAGGGCAGGTGTGACTGTTGTTGAGAGAGAACAGGAACAAACAGGAGTTAGGGCAGGTGTGACTGTTTGTTGGAGACAGACAAACAGGAGTTAGGCAGGGACTGTGTTGAGAGAACAGGACAAACAGGAGTTAGGGCAGGTGTGACTGTGTTGTTGGGAGAGAAACAGGGACAAACAGGAGTTAGGGCAGGTGTGACTTGTTGTTGAGAGAGAACGGGACAAACAGGAGTTAGGGCAGGTGTGACTGTGTGTGGGAGAGAACGGGAAACAGGAGTTAGGCAGGTGTGACTGTGTTGTTGAGAGAACGGGACAAACAGGAGTTAGGGCAGGTGTGACTGTGTTGTTGGAGAGAACGGACAAACAGGAGTAGGGCAGGGTGTGACTGTGTTGTTGGAGAGAACGGACAAACAGGAGTTAGGGCAGGTGTGACGTGTTGTTGGAGAGAACAGGACAAACAGGAGTTAGGGCAGGTGTGGACTGTGTTGGGAGAGAAAGGACAAACAGGAGTTAGGGCAGGTGTGACTGTGTTGTTGGGAGAGAACGGGACAAAACAGGAGTTAGGGGCAGGTGTGACTGTTGTTGGAGAGAACGGGACAAACAGGAGTTAGGGCAGGTGTGACTGTGTTGTTGAGGAGAGAACGGACAAACAGGAGTTAGGGCAGGTTGTGACTGTGTTTTGAGGAGAGAACAGGACAAACAGGAGTTAGGGCAGGTGTGACTGTGTTGGGAGAGAACGGGACAAACAGGAGTTAGGGCAGGTGTGACTGTGTTGGGGAGAGAGAACAGGACAAACAGGAGTTAGGGCAGGTGTGACTGTGTTGTTGAGAGAGAACGGGACAAACAGGAGTTAGGGCAGGTGTGACTGTGTTGGGAGAGAGAACGGGACAAACAGGAGTTAGGGCAGGTGTGACTGTGTTGTTGGAGAGAACAGGACAAACAGGAGTTAGGGCAGGTGTGACTGTGTTGGGAGAGAGAACGGACAAACAGGAGTTAGGGCAGGTGTGACTGTGTTGTGGAGAGAACAGGACAAACAGAGTTAGGGCAGGTGTGACTGTGTGTTGGGAGAGAACCGGACAAACAGGAGTTAGGGCAGGTGTGACTGTGTTGTTGGAGAGAACAGGACAAACAGGAGTTAGGGCAGGTGTGACTGTGTTGTTGAGAGAGAACAGGACAAACAGGAGTTAGGGCAGGTGTGACTGTGTTGTTGAGAGAGAACAGGACAAACAGGAGTTTAGGGCAGGTGTGACGTGTGTTGGGAGAGAACGGACAAACAGGAGTTAGGGCAGGTGTGACTGTGTTGTTGGAGAGAACAGGACAAACAGGAGTTAGGGCAGGTGTTGGACTGTGTTGGGAGAGAACAGGACAAACAGGAGTTAGGGCAGGTGTGACTGTGTTGTTGAGAGAGAACAGGACAAACAGGAGTTAGGGCAGGTGTGGTGACTGTGTGGGAGAGAACAGGACAAACAGGAGTTAGGGCAGTGTGTGACTGTGTTGTGGGAGAGAACAGGACAAACAGGAGTTAGGGCAGGTGTGACTGGTTGTTGGGAGAGAACAGGACAAACAGGAGTTAGGGCAGGTGTGACTGTGTTGGGAGAGAACAGGACAAACAGGAGTTAGGGCAGGTGTGACTGTGTTGTTGAGAGAGAACAGGACAAACAGGAGTTAGGGCAGGTGTGTGACTGTGTTGTTGGGAGAGAACAGGACAAACAGGAGTTAGGGCAGGTGTGTGACTGTGTTGTTGAGAGAGAACAGGACAACAGGAGTTAGGGCAGGTGTGACTGTGTTGGGAGGACATGACAACGGAGTTAGGGCGTTGGTTTGTTGAGAGAGAACAGGACAAAACAGGAGTTAGGGCAGGTGTGACTGTGTTTGTGGAGAGAACAGGACAAACAGGAGTTAGGGCAGGGTGTGACTGTGTTGTTGAGAGACGGACAACAGGAGTTAGGAACATGTGACTTGTTGGAGAGACGGACACGGAGTTAGGAGTGTGACGTGTTGTTGGAGAGAACAGGAACAAACAGGAGTTAGGGCAGGTTGTGACTGGTTGGGAGAGAACAGGACAAACAGGAGTTAGGGCAGGTGTGACTGTGTTGTGGGAGAGAACGGACAAACAGGAGTTAGGGCAGTGTTGTGACTGTGTTGTTGAGAGAGAACAGGACAAACAGGAGTTAGGGCAGGTGTGACTGTGTTGTTGGAGAGAACAGGACAAACAGGAGTTAGGGCAGGTGTGACTGTGTTGTTGGAGAGAACAGGACAAACAGGAGTTAGGGCAGGTGTGACTGTGTTGTTGGGAGAGAACAGGACAAACAGGAGTTAGGGCAGGTGTGACTGTTGTTGGAGAGAGAACAGGACAAACAGGAGTTAGGGCAGGTGTGACTGTGTTGGGAGAGAACAGGACAAACAGGAGTTAGGGCAGGTGTGGACTGTGTTGAGAGAGAACAGGACAAACAAGGAGTTTAGGGCAGGTGTGACTGTGTTGGAGAGAACAGGACAAACAGGAGTTAGGGCAGGTGTGACTGTGTTGTTGAGAGAGAACAGGACAAACAGGAGTTAGGGCAGGTGTGACTGTGTTGTGGAGAAAACAGGACAAACAGGAGTTAGGGCAGGTGTGACTGTGTGTTGGGAGAGAACAGGACAAACAGGAGTTAGGGCAGGTGTGACTGTGTTGTTGGGAGAGAACAGGACAAACAGGAGTTAGGGCAGTGTGTGACTGTGTTGTTGGAGAGAACAGGACACACAGAGTTAGGGCGGTGTGACTGTGTTGTTGGGAGAGAACAGGACAAACAGGAGTTAGGGCCAGGTGTGACTGTGTTGTTGGGAGAGAACAGGACAAACAGGAGTTAGGGCAGGTGTGACTGTGTTGTTGGAGAAGAACAGGACAAACAGGACGTTAGGGCAGGTGTGACTGTGTTTGGGAGAGACAGACAACAGGAGTGGGCAGGTGTGACGTGTTGTTGGAGAGAACAGGCACAGAGTTAGGGCAGTGTGACTGTGTGTTGGGAAGAACGCACACACAGGAGTTAGGGCAGTGTGACTGTGGTTGTTGGAGAGAACAGACACAGGTTAGCGGTTGAACTGTGTTGGAGAGAACGGCAATATAGGGCAGGTGTGACGTGTTGTTGGAGAGAACGGACAAACGGAGTTAGGGCAGTGTGACTGTGTTGGGAAGAAGCCAACAGGAGTTGGACGTGTGACTGTGTTGGAGAGACGACAACAGGAGTTGGCAGGTGGACTGTGTTGTGGGAAGAACAGGACACACCGGAGTTAGGCAGGTGTGACTGTGTTGTTGGATAGAACAGGACAAACAGGATCTAGGCAGGGTGACTGTGTGTTGGAGAGAACACAGGCAAACATGAGTTAGGCAGTGTGACTGTGTTGTGGAGAGAACAGACAAACAGGAGTTAGGGCAGTGGACTTGGATAAGAACACTCTACCAGGACTTGGATCGAATTGACGGCTAGAGAAAGTACAACAGGCTCTACAGGGTAACTTGAAGATAAAATTATATACTGTTACACTTACCATATCTCTGGATATATTTAACCTGATTTTTCTTTAAAATGATTGGGGTAAACTCTACAAAAGACCTGAAATATATAAACCCCTCACAGGACTTGGATATAACTCTCTACAGTGACTTGGATAATAACCTACTACAGGACTTGGATAAAACACTCTACAGGATTGGATATACACTCTACAGGACTTGGATAAACACTCTACAGGACTTGGATTAAAACACTCTACAGGACTTGGATATACACTCTACAGGACTTGGATAAACACTCTACAGGACTTGGATAACACTCTACAGGACTTGGATAAACACTCTACAGGACTTGGATAAACACTCTACAGGACTTGGATAAACACTCTACAGGACTGGATAAACACTCTACAGGACTTGGATAAACACTCTACAGGACTGGATAAACACTCTACAGGACTTGGATAAACACTCTACAGGACTTGGATAACACTCTACAGGACTTGGATAAACACTTACAGGACTTGGGATAAACACTCTACAGGACTTGGATAACACTCTACAGGACTTGGATAAAACTCTACAGGACTTGGATAAACACTCTACAGACTTGGATAAACACTCTACAGGACTTGGATAAACACTCTACAGGACTTGGATAAACACTCTACAGGACTTGGATAAACACTCTACAGGACTTGGATAAACACTCTACAGACTGGATAGACACTCTACAGGACTTGGATACATCACAGATTGATAAACATCTCTACAGGACTTGGATAAACACTCTACAGGACTTGGATAAAACACTCTACAGGACTTGGATAGACCACTCTACAGGACTTGGATAAACACTCTACAGGACTTGGATAAACACTCTACAGGGCTTGGATGGATAACACTCTACAGGACTTGGATAAACACTCTACAGGACTTGGATAAACACTATACAAGGACTTGGATAAACACTCTACAAGACTGGGATAAAACACTCTACAGGACTTGGATAAACACTCTACAGGACTTGGATAAAACACTCTACAGGGACTTGGATAAACACTCTACAGGACTTGGATAAACACTCTACAGGACTTGGATAAACACTCTACAGGACTTGGATAAACACTCTACAGGACTTGGATAAACACTCTACAGGACTTGGATAAACACTCTACAGGACTTGGATAAACACTCTACAGGACTTGGATAGACACTCTACAGGACTTGGATAGACACTCTACAGGACTTGGATAAACACTCTACAGGACTTGGATAAACACTCTACAGGACTTGGATTGACACTCTACAGGACTTGGATAAACACTCTACAGGACTTGGATAGACACTCTACAGGACTTGGCTAGACACTCTACAGGACTTGGATAAACACTCTACAGACTTGGATTAAACACTCTACAGGGACTTGGATAAACACTCTACAGGACTTGGATAGACACTCTACAGACTTGGATAGACACTCTACAGGACTTGATAGACACTCTACAGGACTTGGATAAACACTCTACAGACTTGATGACACTCCTACAGGACTTGGATAGACCACTCTACAGGACTTGGATAAACACTCTACAGGACTTGATAACACTCTACAGGACTGGATAAACACTCTACAGGACTTGGATAAACACTCTACAGGACTTGGATAAACACTCTACAGGACTTGGATAGACACTCTACAGGACTTGGATAACTCTAGATGGATAAACACTCTACAGGCTTGGATAAACACTCTACAGGACTTGGATTGACACTCTACAGGACTTGGATAAACACTCTACAGGACTTGGGATAGACACTCTCAGGACTTGGATAAACACTCTACATGGATCACTCCTTGGATAAACATCTCAGGACTCACAGGACTTGATAACACTCTACAGGACTTGGATAAACACTCTACAGGACTTGGATAAACACTCTACAGGACTTGGATAAACACTCTACAGGACTTGGATAAACACTCTACAGGACTTGGATAAACACTCTACAGGACTTGGATAGACACTCTACAGGACTTGGATAAACACTCTACAGGACTTGGATAAACACTCTACAGGACTTGGATAAACACTCTACAGGACTTGGATAAACACTCTACAGGACTTGGATAAACACTCTACAGGACTTGAATTGACACTCAAACACTTGGATAAAGGACTTGGATAAACACTCTACAGGACTTGGATAGAATATACAGGACTTGGATAGACACTTAGACACAATAAAGGTTAAATAAAATACGAACCATTTCTTGTCTTAGGACTTGCATCTTGCTCTGCAGACTCATCTTGTAGGACATGTCTTTCACATGGCCAGGCGAGTCCCACTTGTCTCCACCATCTGTATTCTCTTTCATGATCCGTCCATCCATGGCAAAAGGAATCTTCCGACCCATCTTTCTCTCCATCTCTCTCAGATCCGTTCCGATGTTAATATCCATTACATAGGAAATACACACTCTTCACCTAATAATAGTAAATGGTAACATTATTTAATGTCATAGTCTACAGTAGGCTATTATGCAAATGTGTGCTTCTGCTGCGAGCCGTGCTTAATAACCCGCCAGAGACCTGTCTGCAACAACAGACAAGAGCCATAACCTTACCATTCGATTCCATCTCGACGTCATCTGGAGTTAACATACTTTTGAATGTTTATCAGGGGCAGCAGGTAGCTTAGTGGTTAAGAGCATAGTGCCAGTAACCGAAAGGTCGCTGGTTCTAATCCCCGAGCCGACTAGGGAAAAATCTGTCGATGTGCCCTTGAGCAAGGCACTTAACCCTAATTGCTCCTGTAAGTCGCTCTGGATAAGAGCGTCTGCTAAATGACACAAAAAAACATTAAGATAACACATTAAATGCGGAAGAGGAGGTGATACGTTTCTATATTAGAAATTCCAGACTGCCAGTGCCAACCATAGGAATTCAAGTTACGTCATTCTGCCAGCCAGTCCTCTAACCGTGGGAACAAAGCACAAAGCTGGAGGGGTGAGTGTTCAACTGGGGGTGAACACGTGACTGACTTGCCTTTAGAGGCGAGTTACCCCGCCTGACACCATTGCGCTTAAACAAGGTGTCATGTTATTCATTCTAGTACGTTTGTATACCTTTCATATCAAATCAATATACACAATAATAATCATATTAATAATAAACATAATTGAATATTAGGCAAAACTCGACTTCCCCAATGACATCGCGCCAATCAATAACAGTGCGCACCTGTGGCGGTGGACGCGCTTTGGCCGAACCATAGAGATAGATAGAGGACTCATCTTTGTATCTGTGCCTCTATAGCATCTGCGACAGCATGGGCAACGCCATTGAGGCTATCTCTATTTCAAAGTAGTCCATTTCCTTATTCATGATTGGCTGATCCCTCCTTATGACCCGGTTAGACATGACTCCACAGGGTCACCAGGAGGAATCAGCCAATGAAGTTGGAAGTCCCACCCAGTTGATTACGTTAAAATGGTGGAAGCCCTCAATGGCGCTGTCCATGCTATAACGGCCTTTTGGCCACTAGAGGCCTCTATCACTCTCTATGGGCCAAGCAAACGGCTGATCAGAACCAGGAAATAACCATGAGTTTGAAATGTTTGTTAGACCGAGCTAAACAACGACAAAACACGAGTAACTTGCGAACATATGTTAGTAACAAGGATGCGTTTTTTTTTGGTTTTCTACTGAGTTGTAGAATGTGTAAACTGTAACAATGCAGAAGAACGCTAAAAACATAAACGCACCTTGGACTGTCACAGTAGATCCATTGTTGCCTATAGGGCTAGATGTAGGTCTAAATAGCGATGTTACATAGTAGCCTATCAAGAACACAAACAGATAAATCGGAAAAGAC